TTACACACTGTTACTAAAATTTATTTCATGGGCAAAAGGATATTTCTTCCCCATAATGGATAATTCTCCAGTATTCTGACGTGATCGGTAGCTACCTTCAACTATTTGCTTCAACAGAAATCAATTATTTGCCAGACATCCACTACTTCCCCAAAAAAAAACCAAACAAAAACCTCCACCTACCTTTGAATTTTGAGGCAAGCAGACAGGGAGCTGCATCCCCGCATCCCGAGCCAGCCTCTCTCCAAACCCGCGTTCGGTCAGTGCGATCAATCTGTTTGCTTTGACACCTTTCAGTCACCGATCCCAAACAGGAGCTAAACCATCAAGCAGAAACCTGGATTTAAGACACCGACTTTAACCTTGATTTGCATTGGTATTTATTTTCATATTTAGCTTTCATTAATTAGGATAGCCATTGTAATAGAGATTTGCAGGCAATCATCACTGTCAAAAGAATCCTATGTTAATAAAGTGAAACAAAAAAAATGCCTGTCTCATCACTACTCTGATTTTTTTTTTTTCTTCTCAAAATTTGGGGCAGAACACATAGACACAAATTAGAACTCAATGAAAAATGACAAAGCTACCCGAGGCATACGGGGCAACTGACGGGTTTCAAATTTAAGATTGATTAAATAAACGAGTAGCTGTTGCCGGCGGGTTCGATCTCTTGGTTCCAAAGCCCAAACTGGCTTTGCTCAAAGCATTGCTATCCTACATCCCGAGGCTTAAGGAACTCTTTCCGCATTGCTGTTCAGCATCTCATTTCTACAAGGGGAGTTCAGACCCCCGTCCTGCTTAGATATACAGCACCAAAAGTATTTTGCATTTGTCTTTGATCACCTAAATGTTATTTCAATTTTGGTTCCAGGGTACAAGGTTTCTCTGAGCTACTCTTTCAAACATCACATCAGAAAGAAAAAACACCCCAAAGCCTTTTGTGGGGCTTATTTTGACTCTCAGTTAAATAATATAAACCCAAACAGGTCTTTATGCATATCTATTAACTAAACTGAAGTCAACAATATATTACAGAAAAGCATCCTTGCATAAAAAGGAGGAATTTAAATACCAGCATTCACTTCATTGTAAAGAGACGGGTACTTCAATATTACACAAGAGATTTTGGCATCCCAAAAGTTTGAGCTGATGTTAAACGTTAAAGGTGTTTCCCAAATTCATCCTAATGTTAAAATAGTGGAATTCTTTAACTGAATGAAATGTGAAGTTTCAGTGACGATAGGCTTTCAATAAATCATTAAAAAATGGAAACATTGCTTCTTTTGTTTTCTAAATACTTCAAAATATATTAATTTTTTTGGTTTAGAATTGGACAAACTAAAACCGCTAACAGCAAACCTTAGACACCCATTCTGATTTTATTAATCATTCAGCATTTGCTATTTGCTTGTGGAACAAGAATCAAAAAGGTGTTTTAATTTTTCTTTTTCTGAAAGAGGCAGAATCTCAGTTATTCACAAGGGTCACGGCAATTTCTTGCTCTTTTAGGCTTGATTCCCCTAAGTTCCCCAGAAACACACAAAAAAATTGCAAACAACACTTCTGCCATTAAATCACTTTGTCTCTTTACAAAATTCCAGACAAAGCACATGAGCTAAAAAAGATAATTTCTTTTATTAACATTCATTCTAGGAAAAAGCCTCTGGAGAAACCTTTCAGAGTATGATGTCAAAAAGCCACTGGAAGCTGGTTCAGTGATGGGGCTTCCCGTTCAAATGGAACATTTGAACATCTGATGGCTGGGGGGCAAATCTTTTTTTATTTTGCACTCGATCAACATCACAGTCCATTTCTCAGGGCAATGCAAAACCCGCTTAATACAAGTCAACAGCCAACTATAATTTAACCCTCAATAAAAGTCTATTTTTGGCAGAAGGTTCAGCTTTCTTTAAAATTACTATAACCAGGAGTTAAACCCATTTCTTAAATTCACTTTAAATGCTGTACATAATGAGGATTAAATCTTTTCATAACTGTAGCAAAGCCATTTCTGTTCACTGAGGGTTTGAATTCTTCAAAAGACTGATGTTAGACAGTCAAAGAGCAGACAGAAAAGCCAATTTTCTCTTAGAATTCACGCAAGACCTTGTCCATCTCCAAGTAACTCGTCTATTTTTCCAACCAGTGGCAGGAAATCTTCATTTCTACAGCCAACATCTATACTCCTGATCTCCACATGCCTCATCCTCGCCAGAATGCATTTTGAGCATTCTTCTAGAATTAAAAAAAAAAAAATGTACTGCTTCCCCGAGTGCACAATAAGGCACTGCATTTTTATCAGCCTTGTAAACAGCACAGGCCATTACACAACAGCCTGCTTGAAAAAACAGGATTCAATATTCACGTACTTTGTTAAGAGGAGACAGATCTCCTTCTTACGGTCATCAACTACTGCAAGACTAACTTCATTAAAATAAGAAACTAAAGATGACGTAGACTTAAAAATAAAATACCTCCAGTGTAGCAGTTAAATTTGAGCAAAGAGCGTTAAAAGCCTCTGGGAAAAGCAGAAATTATAGTTCAAAGGTTGATTCAGGGGCACCGGGAAGTCAGCAACAGGCAGGGAACTCTGACAATTGTACAAACCTCGCACATCCTTCCTGGAGGTCCAAGATCAGCGTGAAAGAGCGGAGTAAGAACTTGAGATCGAGTTTTGACAACTTCCATGCTGAAGCCCTGCCTGCAATCAGGATCAGTTTACGTAACCCATCTCCCCAGCAATACTGCAGTAGACTTAAATTTCTTCCTTCCCACCCCGAATGCTGACTGTCCTCATTCTTTCTCGGTTTGTTTTTCACCACAACTTGCAGTCCAAAGCTAAACTCCTTATCTGCAACAATGCATGACTCCTCATGATCACAGTAACTTTCTCAGCACAGCAGAGCATCCAGAGGGGAATTACAGAAGAGGGAGATGGTGGAACAGTCCCACAGGTATTTTCCAGAAGACTATGCAAATTCTGAAGGTGTGAACTAGAAATGTGTGTCCCATCCCATCACACACCCCTCACCCCCTGCAATATAAGACCACAGCTGATGGAAGACAGGCTTTTGGCTGTGAGAGCAGCTATTCTTTCCTCCCTTCTGCCAAGGAACAGGGATGGTGAGCAGATGATGTTGATTCAGATTAAGATGCAGTGTTGAAGCTATATGATTAAGCTTACACAATGTGCATCTATACCACACCTGGCTCTGAGCTGCTGCACTTCCACACTTCTACCAATACCTTTAAAATTTACCCCAAAACAGGTAACATCACAGCAGCAGAGATCACCTGCTCTTGGCAGGTTGGCAAGATATTGCCCCAAAATTGAACTAAAGTTGCCAGCTCTTTCCACAAATACAAATATTGATAAAATGACATAGGTAGGAAATAAATCCTGCTATTTACTTAGCACTTTTTATTATAAGAACTACGATGTTCGTTTTAAGGCTCAGTGACAAATCCTGTTTGGTACATCATCACCTTATTAAAAACCTGTCACACGTGCAGAGAATGCTAAGTGATATTAAGTACGCTGTTAACTTGACAAAATACAGCCTGCTGCTTTCCACCTGACTAACGCTGCAGCAAAGATGGCACATTTTCAAGGGGTGGGAAACAGACACCCTTCTCCTTTCCTCGCCAAGGCTCCAGATCCAGTTGAAAATCTAAACACAGTAAAAATAGGTGTCTCGGCCACAAAGGCAACACATCAGAAACTCAGCCATAACACTCCACTCCAGAGCCACGTACGTACATCAGTTATCGGGATGTGACTGCCACCCAACTGCAGTAAGTAAACGAAATGGAAACAGTCATTTAAAATACTCCATTTATCCAGATATGAAAGAAAGGCTAGACCGATGCTGAACAAGAAGGCAGTTCAAAAGCAAAACCAAAAAGATGCCTCAAAGTGACAGGTAACAATAAAGGCAGAAATTACAACTTTTTGTCCAGTAATTCAAAAGGAGCACAAAGTTCTTTTGCACAGAAGGCAAAGATCTGACAGGGTTGCCAGCACACTGTGCAGCTCAGGCCAGCGCAGTCACACATGGCATCGATGGTTTCAGCCATCAGCAAAAGACTGGGAATAATAAAGGAATGCCAGAGTCAGATCTTTAAACATCTTGGAAGGGAGTATATTAATATCACCACTTGAGCATTTTCACTTGTGCTATTGGACGATAAGTGTAGAAAGCCAGTGTTATCTCCAGCAATTAAAATACCCTTCAAAGGGAAACCTTTCTGTGACATTTTAGGGAAGGAATATTTCGGCTATATGCTCAGAGCATGTCAATGCCACTTTCTACTCTGTACCAGGCTTCTTTGGAAGATACAACAGATAGGTATCTTCTGTCCACAGGATTCCAGTGTGACCCATTACTCTAAGCATCAGTGAAGAAAGAGAAATTTACCTTTCGCCTCTCTACGCGTACGGGTGGTTATACTCAAACCTACCGGTCACATAGTCTCGCTATCTGCAAAGTCCAGTTAATTAATCCTTTGGTTTATACTCATCTGCCTATTTCAGGAAATAGACTTCAGCAAACAGACATACTCTTGGCTTGTTCATTGAAGGGTTTTTTAATGTGAGGAGAAACGGAAGCTTCTGATTAACCACGTGTGACTGCTTAACTACATTAAAATCAACTGGATTTTCAGCAGTTTCTAAGCTGTTCACACCTTCCTAAAAAAAGCCTCAGTGCTCAAGTCTTTAAACAGTTCATCCAATAAAGCTGATGTCATATACCAGGTATTACAGATGCATCTTGGCTGCAGCTGAAAGCTGGCAAGATTAATCTCCTTTTGCCCAACATCTGAGCCTTGCAGGAAAACAAAACCAAAAAGAACAAATAACCTCAGGTCTTGACAAACAAAGATTCTTCCATTGGTCTGATTCAAAACAAATGTTACGCTCTTTTCCACATACGAGTCCCATCTATGCACCATGAAACAACGATGAAAACAGTATGATGCAAAGTCTTCTTAAATAGTCACCCAAAATGTAAAGAGAGCATACAGAAGCTTGATGCAAAATCCGGAGATAGTCCAGGGCAGTGCTTGGGTATCACTAAAGATTTAAGGACTACTGGGGATTATGTGGCCAGCCACAAACTGTCTCGTAAAAGGTCATGACAGAGTTCTCTGCTGCTAAGATGAGTGAACAGACTGCCATTTCCCGTTAGAGGTTTGTCTATCAGTTAAAAAAAAAAAAAAAAGACCAAGGAAGAGCACAGTCATGCTGCTGATCGTCGACGAATCACAAAAACACCTCGCTGCAGCTGTCCCAGGTAGATTCTCATCTTTGTGCTGTCACTGGTTTTCCTTACCCAGATCTGCATGAAAGAAAAAAAAGGGGGCGAGGAGATATATTGGGGAGAAAAAGGGAAAACCCACAGTAAGCAATACGCAGACAAATAAGTCCAGGTATTCTTATTGTCGGATCTGAACATCTGCTACTCAGGGTATAGAGACGATTTAGCTTAATCCCTTCTCCCTCCCCACATTACGCATTCGCAACCTGAGTAGACAACGAATTTGTAACTTTACCACCTTAACTTACTGCTCAAAACAGTCACCAAGAGCAATTACTCTTTCCAAGCATCATCAGGAAAGTTAAGTTTCCTTCTGCTACAGTTCACAACAGAACTCTGGCATTAAGCTTCACCTAATCAAGAATAACTCTCTCTAGATCCACAGATCATAAAATTATCTATCCTGGGATTTGCCCAGACAAGTAACTGTTAGTCAAATGAAAAGCTTATTCTGACTTTGTTCAGTGAAGCATTTCTCACAATGTATTAAATAAATTGCATCTGAAGATGAAAGGGTTTCTTTTTTTAAACACCTGCATGGAAGAATTCACATAACTTGCGATATTCAGTATGTTTCAAAGGACAAATAACTTCCATGGAGGCAGCCACTCAGAATTTAAAAAGAAAAAAATCACTTTCAAGAAGTTTAAACCCAAATAACTGTAACTTTAAAAATCAAATCTGAGCAAAACTCGTCTGCATTTTATCATTCTAATGCATTTAAACATATTTAAATAAAAGGATGGAAAATAAAAGTTATCCAGCTCTTAGTACTGGAGTATTTTAGGATACAATATTGCCTCCTGCAAAGGACTATAAAGTTAGTGTTGGCATGCAATTTATCCAAAACTTTTTTTGCTTAAGGTATGATATTAGCCACAGGCCTGGCATGGTAGACTGACTTAACACTATTATTTTAATTATAAATTGACTTTATTATCAGAAGTCCTCAATATAAAATAAATTTAATAATCTGAGCAACCATACAGGGCAAACATGTACAGTTTTACATTCTACCACAACACGATGGAATGGTGTATTTGTTAAGTTTCATTTGGGGGAAAATAAAAATTCAGTTTTAAGTGACCAGAATAGTGAAATTACTTATTAACACTAAAATGTGCCACACAGTTTAGAAAAATAAAAGCATCAAGACATATTCTGAACTTAAAACTGATCTTTTAGACATACAATGTATTTTTGCAATACGGTAACATTTATTAATTCCAAAGATCTGAAAGAGACAGTGAATAGAAACAACCAAATCCCTCTGTGAATTTCTTTTATTCCTAGACTGTAATCAAGAAATAAGCTTCCTCCTTTTTTCAACTTCCAACAAACAGATTGCTGAATGAACTTGTGGGAATAAAAAAGCTTTCCCCACATACTGAAGAGTTTATTGTTGTGAAAAGGCAAATGATTGAATTGGTTCCATGCACTTGGCCAATGATTTCCACCAATGCAGTATTTGATGCACAGTTTCCAAGGAAATCACATCGAAAGTAACAGAAATATTTTCTGTTAGATCTAAACACATCACCAATTTTTAAAGAATTTGGGCCTGGGAAGATATTTTTTGTTTGTTATTTAAGGGGGATCATCACAGCTCAGACTCTGTGTTGGAGAGGCCCATAGCCAACTACAAAATTCAAATCCAGTATAAGAAAACTAATTTAGACCTTCATATGAACAAAGATGCCTCTGATACACTGTTAACTACTTCCTTCCCCCAGCCACAAGAAGGCAAACTGTATGCCATAACATCTCCGACATTTCTTAGCCATGTCTTTTCACTTTGAGCATCAATGGAAATGCTGGTGGGGAGACACTCTGCAAACCTTTTCAGTAAAATTCCTTTGAATACCATGACTTCCTTCAGAAATGCTCTCAGCTTTTGACTCCAGTCTACAACTAGAGATCTCAAATCTAGGTCTCCCTTCCAGCTTCTAAATTCAAGCAGGACCTTGGAAGATCACAATTTAGCAACCACGCTTTCGAACGCGTGAAGAAATCCGAGATGTGCACATCGTGCTCCCAAGAGAACACCTTCTCATTTCAGTATTCTGTTACATATTTATCTCCCTTGGCCTTATAGTGTTGCAACGAACCATCACAGGGCAAACAACTGCCATGCCTCCTCCCCAGCCTCTCTCAAAAACCCCTGACAAAACTAAAACAAAACCTATTGTCTCACTTAAGTGGAATTCATGCAACTATAATTAATGGATTGCGTTTCCTTCAGGTTTCAGGTAAGATCCTCCCAAAAGATTGAGTTTAAATGCTATAAGTTAACAGTAATAACGTTAATCAAATTAGCAGTACTATATTTTTAATGCATCCGTTAGCACACTACTACTACTACTTTATCTAAATAACCAACCGTTGAGCATAACAACTGTTATTGAAAGGAGAACAGTTGTGATACAAAGCATATCCCATACGCAACTCATTTTGTTGAAAATGAAACATTTTCCCTTAGCTGCCAAAACAAATTAAAGTTATTTTAGTGGCTGATTAAAGAGAAGTGCATTCAAGTCTATCGCTTCTTTCCTTGAAGTGTCTGGAATCTTCAAAGAAGAAACCGCTCCCTTTGCCCAGCTGATGTACTGCTTGAGCACTGAGCAGGAAGAATTTTCTCCTCTTGTAACAACTAGATTTGGTGACAAAAATTTTTCCTCATCATCTTCTGGATTCCCAATGGGATTTTTTTTTTTTTTAAATTTTGCATTAATAACAACTGTATGTATGTTCTTGAAATAATGGAAACGGTCCTTATGAATGCAGTGCCGATGAGATGCAATGTGTCAGTTCTCCCCATTTTTTCTGAACGTAACACTGCTTTTCTCTTAGCCCTTACTAGACAGCCACCTGCCTGCCTACGCTGACCCACGGCTTTCCCCACTCCCATGAAAAACAAACAAAGCAGCTCACTACCTCGTTGGCACCCACAGAACTGATCACGCAGCTGATCTTAGTGTTCTCTTTAGACTCCAGGTAAATAGCCTGGCTCTTGTGGTACCTGCAAAAACAAAATAAATAAAAGGAAACACATGAAACCAAAGACTGAGAAAAGAAATAGTAATATGATGGATCAAGCTAGGATTGTACAAGCATTTGGACAGAGTAAATATGAAGTCTGTCTTTCCACTTTCCTCATCTTCACCAACGCAGAGGGTGGTCTGATTCTACACACACACACTTTGCATTTAAATGATGCTTCAGAATGCATAAAGCTCCCTCAATCCACCTTCAATTCTGTACGCAGATTACTGTAAACATATTTTACATCTGAAAGAGGGAGGGGCAGAGCACTGAGCCACAAGACAGGAGAACACTGACTGACAAAAAGCCCAGGTTTCAAGAGTTAATTTCACTTTTCAGACACAGGATGGATTTTAGAAGGCAACTCCATATTATGCCTGATAAAATGTGACAGAGCAAATCACAGATACTAAAAAGTTATTCACATTCCCCAATATAAAATCAGTAGTGCACCAACAAAGTGAATTGTCCTCAGTGCCATCTATTTATTGTTTAAACAGTGACCTCAAATTACTAATACTGTCTTATTTTGTGAAAATACCCAAAATGGTAAGTGATGGGTAACTGAGTCCATAAGAAGCTGTACATACCTGCCATAAGGAGGTCGTGCCTAAGCACATCCATTTTTTTCCCCTTTTAGATCATATTTTAGTCATGCTATATATTTTTTCTTAGTGCAGTTTGTATAAAACAAAAACTTCCAAACTCATAACTCTGAATTGCTTGATTTCATGATCTTGCCTTCTTCGCAGACCATGCTCCTGGTAAGTGCTGCAAAGCGTGCTAGGCAAAACTCCCCAGTTTCTGTTTATTCTGCCTAGGAGAGTTCCATAGGCAGAATGAATTATACTGAAACAGCTTATTTGCAATTAAGTAATCTTAATCAAGAGAGTACCAAAATGGTTTGTAGTTATAAAAGCAGAACTATATTTCCACCTTTACTGTAATCGTGATGTGGTTCATATTTAACCGGGCAATCCAAGTTGCAGAATGACTGCACAGAGATTCCCCCAGCAGCTACTCAGTATGCAACTCCCTGCAGTCTGACTGGCTGACAGCCATTTGTCAAAATGCATGGCTTTGTATAATCTTTACAGTTCTTTCTACAACAACCATACTGTAAATATGGAAGTCTTCCAATAGTTTATTCCATCATCTCTTCCTACTGGCTCACACACTCAGAATTTTGATGCTGCTTGCCAGTAACAAGAATTGATAGTGTCAGCTTTGAGTGAGGTAATAAGAAAAAGTTCAAGTTCTGCAACCTTTAGACACTTGTGCGCAACCATAATTCTTTCTCCCTCATTTTAACAGAAAGGATGTCAGTGAGTTCCAGAGCAATGTAATAGCAGCAACGATCTGAGCCTAAAATCTCAGTTTACTGAGCTCAGATGATCATTAATTGACACAAAGGAACAGTATAAGCTACTACAAACCAGACCTCACTAAGACAAGACATAAAATTCTCAGTCCAACAGCATCCTACCATGCCATGCTGTGAGTGCTTAAGCAAGGAGAATTGATGATCTTGACCGAATCAGCGCACAAACTTCCGAGTGCAAAAGATACCACTGCAAACGACAACTCTCAAGTGGTATCTGTGCCTGCACAGATAATGAAATAATTTTTCCAAAGCTGTTTCTTCCAATTTTTGATTATCAGTGAATTCCAAAGCTAATGACACACATGAAGCTGCTTCAGCCCCTGGATTTCACATCACGAGTTACCATCCATCAGTAAATCTATATTAACTGTGCACAGAAAAGGCAAGATAACAAGTTAGTTCAGCACTTTTTCACTGAAGACTTGTCTCAACTGTCTCATGCTCCATGCACACAGAGCAACCGGTGAGCTGAAGGCACAGTAGCCTGGTACATCTCAGTTACAAGTTCATGTCTCAGCCTTTTGCTGAATTTATATACCCACAGAGGTAGAACTGAGGAAAACACCTCAGATGAAAAATGCAATGGAATTTAAGTTGGGTTCCAAAAGAAGGAGAGTGCCAAACACCATTTCCTTTTGCAGCAGGGAAAATACACCACAATACTGACAAGTGAGGTAAGCAGAAATAATACCACTTTCTGCTACAAAATATTTTGCTGAAAGGCCAAGATTTTCAACTGTATCTCCATCAGAAGATTGAAAGAAATCACTCTGCATTATTGTATACAAAGCTAAAAGCAAAAAGATGGTTGTTATACAGTGAACGGTATTTTAGGAACTGACGGGGGGGCATGGAGCAAATTGAGGATAAAAAACCTGAAGTCTAATTCCACATCCATCTGAAACTCCCTATACAAAGTCTCCACTTCGGAGATAGGTTTGTGAAACGCCTCTGCAAGAACTGAGGGAGTCCATTACTAGCCTTAAACATTTGCTATTTTGAGATAATGGTCCTTCATGGCTGCTGTCAGGCAACACAGAAAGCAGTCACTCCTGAGCTGTCACTTTTATTATTTCTGGGCTACAGCCTCAATACACCTTAGATAAAATTACCCTCCCACTATCAAGAGTTATTTCATTATTTTAAAATACCAGCTACTTTACACAAGTACTATTACTATCAATCAAAAAATCTAAGCAGGATTATTACAGCCAAAAAATGTAAAATACTTCTCTTAAAACAGCATAAGAACAAGGAAGACAGGAAAGGCAACAGCTGGAATTCCTGACAGTGAGACCTCCATGACAACTGAATTTAGCAAGATGAAAACGTCCGTTAATGTTTTATGTCCCAACTAGATATCTTTCAAAGAGAGCTTGCGCTTCTGACAGATTCATCTGGGCTCACCGAAGCTCTTCCAGGTTTAGATTTGATGGGCGCTTTACTGACAGATTATTCCAGATCCCAGCATTTTTTTAATTTTTTTTTTTTTTAACTTATGCAACACTTTACAGTACTCCACAGGCTTAAAAATTCTGAAGAGCAGTTTATTCATCCACATATACCCTAGAGAACAGTCACCTTACACAAAAAAAATTATGAAAGCAAAAAAGGAACTTTGTGAATTTGTGAAATGACAAGTAGCCTGTTCAGTTCATGTCTGCTTTATGCTTCACGAAGTTCAAGCTCCAGACAGCAGCTTTTATCAGAGTTGTATATATTGAACCCTTGATGAAACTTCACTGTCAGAAGACTAGCAGAAGGAAAAACTGACCAACCGTACAAGGTGGCTGTTGTGTAGAAAACAAACTTCACGCCTATCATTTTCCGTGATAAAATTACAATCGTGTCACTTGTTATTTTGAGCCACCAGAACACCAAAGTAGGCTACAAATAAGTATACAACTTGAAAATTGCTTTCTGCTCAAGTAGTACTAGATTGCCCCCTTGATTATCCAGTTTTGCATGTCTCAGAGATTAAGTTTAAGACCTACTAAGATTTCTCTGCAAAATTTATTGTTTTCCTTGCGTTTTGCGAGAGTTGCACAGCTATATGCCCATAAAACCTAACAGAGCTAAATCCAATCAGCAATTCTGAAGTTGCTTCTCCCATGTGGGTTTGATCTTTAAAGGTTATTTGGATTTCTTATTAGAAACATTTTTCATTCTGCTCATGTGGTATACAACATTTCTTCCGCCACCTTGTGGAATGATGGGCTGGTGTTCTACAAAATCAGAACAGTGTTGACACCACTGTACCTGCAATCGCAGAGTATCTGTACCCTACCTGACCTGCATCACAGCTATGTCACGCTGCAGCCACTGCTGGCTCTCTTACTTAACATTAGGTTTGACAAAAACGTTTCCCAAGAGTCACAGTGCGCACAACTGACTCCCACAGAAAAGATTTCAGTCTTTTATTTGAGCCAGTAGTTGCTTCTGAAAGTCTATGAGGTCTAAGCACTCCATTATCACTTCTGATTTACCAAAGTCACAATGATTAGTCCTAGGAGGAAGTGGCTAACTGCCCCCCAAAAACATTTTACCCTCAAATTCTTTTATCAAAGCAATTTCTCTCCGCAGTCTTGGTCATCTTGCTACACAACACTCAGACTAATTAAAACAGAAATTTACCGGGACTTACCATCTCTTATCGTAGTAGAGTTTTCCATCTTCTATCCGGGCTTCAAACCGCTGTGCTGGAGACTCTGCTGGTGTAGCTGGGAGGTGTTCGGGAGAGGAGGGAGAGGCTGAGAACAGGAGAGAGAGAGTGCGTTTAAAGACCAGCACGTGTCCACCACATAGTAGCACATCTGACAGCAGAATTGCAATTAATAAGGTCATATTAAGCAGAAGTAACAAGCACAGAAATCTACAAACTCAAATTTCCATCAGAAAAATATTCTCTATGGGGACAAATAATTCAACCTCTGCCTTGAGTATATAATATTCACTGAAATAAGATTTATCTGAAAAAAGTGTTGATAAGTAGGTGATAGACAATACATCCTTGATTTTGTTCTAATTCTAAAGTAGTTAAAAAAGGTCAGAATTACTTAGGCAACTTAGTACCACTCTGTCTTGAAATAACATGTATAGATACATCTAGAGAGCTGGAGGCATAAACCCATAAATTCTCCATCCCTCCATCTACCTGACAAGCAGGCAAGCTGCCCAGATCCATCTGAATATAATGGAAAAACCTTGTTACACAGTTAGATTGTCCCATGGCCATATATTTCAGCCAAAGATGTGCATGCCTCCCTTCCCACCTCTGACAAACTTCTGAACAGACGCAGAGACTCCGCGCAGCACCCATTCGCCACAGCAGCTCCACAAAGAACAGCAATTACACAGTCAAAATAATTATACAGTCAAATTACACAGTTGAAAAGTCTACCATAGAATTCTCTGTTCAAAACAGCGTGACTCCGAACAAGTTCCAATGCAACTGTTAACTCACCTGGTCTCTTGGGTGATTTAAGCTACATGGAAAGAGAGCAAAGAAGCGTTAGAGAGCTGACATGAGCCACAAAAGTCTGCAGTAATAATTTCAGATAGTCTTACTTTCCATACTTTAAGTAGTTCTTTTCTAAATGTAGTGTTAAGTGGCATAACACATAACCAGAACAGCAGGCTGTACACTGCCAAAGGTGCAGATAATCAGTATCATGATACAACAGGTTTACAAACTGAACTTGAGAGCATCCAGATAATCGACTAAAGTAAAAATCAAATCCATCTAACACAATAGATTTTTGAACATGATCCAACATTTCTGAGGGTACAAAAGACACAGGAGATAAATCATTAGGGACACCTCAACAGCTGGCACAAAAAACATGCTCCACTATCGTCCTCAAAAGCCTTAATGAGCAGCCTCTATTACAAGGAATTAGATAAGCCTTTAAGTGTTTAGCAAGAAAGCAATAGGTTAATCAAATCTAGAAAAACTATAAACATACACAGTGCACCCTGTCCAGTTTGCTCAAGTATTATGACAGTGGGGTGAAAAAAAATCCCCAAACCCTAAAAACCACCACCCACACCGAGGTCTAAACCAGAGGCAGCCTGTGATCTCACAGAAAGACGTGTTAACATCTGTTCAGCCGTGCGGAGGAAGAAAGAAACTCCTTGAGATAGCTCATCACTTGGTTCAGACAAAAGGTAACATTTTCAGGTGACAGTCATTTTAATTAGGTTAATTAAACCTATTAAAATAAAAGGGAGGAGATACCATCTTGCTAAATCTTTTATTGTGCTACTTCAGAAAGCCTACTGGGATGAAATAGTCCCACATCTCAAAGAGGAACATAAACCAGAGAGCTCTGTTCTCTTCAGGGGAAAGCATCAGCTTTCTTTTCAAAACAAAGAAATACAAGTCAAGCAATAATCCCTACCTTATTCAGTGTTCTCAGGTCCTCCATTATTTGCTCATCAGTCAACAAATAATTTAGCTGAGGTATGCAGAATTAAGGTTCTCATAAGCTCTTGACAAGCAAGGCTAAAAATTAAAGCTCGATGACATTTCACTTGACTAAACGTAAGCCAAAAGGTCTCTGTAAAGTTGCATATGCTTTTAATAAGTGTCATACTTGTATTAATTCATATAACAAAAAAGCTCAAGTCCATCTCCACAGAGCCTTACATTTAGCAGCAAGTAAGAGTGCAAAATCATTTTAACTTACTCAGACGTAACTATCAATGAAAAACCTTTAGTGCATTGACATTTACTTCACGAAGGCATCAAACACTAGCGCTTTCAGTATTTTTCATCTTGCCTTTCTGTAGAGAACAATCCGGGAGATGAAACACGACAGACTTGCTTCTGATTTTGTACAGTGAAGCTGAATTCCACCCAAACCCAGAAGTCAGCCTTTTGCAACTTAGTAAGCAGGAATAGAGAGATAGGGAGAAGAGACGAGAAACTCACACAAAAAAAACCCACCTCAAAAAAAAACCCAGAAAATAAAGCCAGAGGCACAAAACTCATCCTTGTGTGGATGAGGATAAATAAAAGTCTACCATTCACCTGAAAACAAAACCAAAAATCTCATAACACAGAAGTTCTGAGAAATTCTGAGTAAGGATATATCTTAACGATTGCTAGGCTGCATTTTAAGGATTTCGAAGTTCTGAGAAATTCTGAGTAAGGATATAATATCCCTTACTCTACTATTACATCCTTACTAGAGCTTCGTTGTCATTTTATGCAGTTTCACAATCGCGTCTTCCTACTTCCCTTTTCTACTACTCCTCATTCCCACACAAGAAAAACCTACGTTCACAGCAGGAAAACAATACCCAGACAAAGCAGCGGACCCTGTCTCCAGCTTTAATCTACAGTGTTTCTTCAAAACAGCTGTTAAGTCAAAAGTATTCAAAGTATTAAACTAAAGTTAACGATTGCTAGGCTGCATTTTAAGGATTTTGGTTCTGATGGACTTTAATCCTCTCCCCAGTGAGGAGGCAGGTAGTTTCACACTGTGGCTGCCATATCATGCTCAATTAGTAGGTCATGTTCACTATGAAACTCATTTATTTTGGATGCGATAGGGGCACTAATAAATAGATTATTTTTTCCCCTGAAAGAGCAAACAGAATCTCCAACCAGAAAGAGGTTAATTAAAACTGGAGATGCTCGTGACCATCCTGCACAAACTCAAGTTCAAGGTTTGATATTGCCTTCAGAAAATGTGAGTCACTCCAAAGTTGTACGATAAGTTTTTTTAATCTGATTTAAGCCATACAAGTTTGGAATCTAATAATAACCCTCTGCAAAGCAAATATCATTGCTTTCCTCTCCAGGTGAATTTAATATACAAGTAGAAGAAGTGCCTATCATCACACAGGAGCTAAAAACATATTTCCAGAAGCCAAGGAACATTTTAATTATAAGAAACATGCGACAAGGCAGAAGAGAAGGATTACATATACATGTTTTTCTCTCTTGTGATATATGAAAACAAGATGGATTTTCATCTTTTCATCTGGACTAGAGATCTGAAGCCTTTATCAGAAATGGAAAAACTAGTTTCATATGACAAACATGATCTTTCTGGCAAATGTTTTGTCACATCTTGAAATGAGAAAAGCTTTGGCTCATGTAAAAAGCCATTTACTATCTATGGAATCAATTACCTCAGCATTTATATATAATGTTCTTTTAAAGTTTTTCCTTTGTGAAAAAAATTGCCTGAAGAATTCAAACTATTCTCACAAAATAAATAAAATCAAGTAAGTCAGTTCGGATACCAAGGGATCTCTGAAGACTGGTTGTGTTATATTAGTTTATCAAACATTACACATGACAAATTGTGCTTCAGTATTCCCTAGATTAAAATCTGATCCTAGCACGTCATTTCATTTTCCTTCCTGTACAACACAACAGAGATGCAGGTAGCGTGCCAGCTTTAAATACAACAGCCCTCCCGTGACTCCGTAAAAGGATATCAGGGGCAGGTTTCCTCCTCTTGTCTGGGATAGGAACTGGATCATTTGGTCGTCGCCTCAGTTTTCTTGTCATAATAGGCTTCACTTCCATTGAATCTGTAGAGTAATGAAGTTGGAGAGCTGATAAGACCAGAGGGAAAGGAGTAAGATACAGAAGCTTTCTACACAGGGCACAAGGAAAATAATCTTTCCTCCTTCATAAAGAAAATTGGATATTTTTTTTTTATTTTTTTTTGGTGATAGCTTCCAGCATCCAAGGTGAAACTGCTGACCACAAATACAAGTTCTACTTCATACTGGGTCACTGTTCAGCAACAGCATTGCTATGCCATGGTTACAGCTTTCCTTGGCTGGAAGCGGCACAGTTGGTTTGGGGGCATTTTACAGCTCCTTCAGGTACAGATAACAAGCATTACGATGTTAAAAGTATTCAGAGTAAATTTCTTTAATGCTAATGCTATCTGCTTTTGAATAGATCGTTTAAAAGGCAAAGTTCATGGGGTTCTTTGCTAACAAAACTGGGGTAGTTAATCACATGTAAAACATCAGCTACAAATCAATTGCTCTCGTTTTCTTGTCTTTGAGCTGTAAAAATAGCTTTGTCAAAGGAATACAGATAATTACTGCATTCAAGACTTACACAAGTCTGCTGGAATAATTTTAAACACAAATAGTATTTAAATTCAGATTATCTAAAAATGTTTCAAATTATGATTAATGAAATGAACCTAATTAATAACATGCAGAACAGCAGTTGACAAGAAACAAACTGTAGCATATGCACTAAAAGAAAAAACCTGTTTAAAATTGAAACACAAGTGTCATCACCAAGTAATTATAGAAAATTACAGTTTGAGTAAAGTGGTTCAGACTACCTGGAGACATTTGGGACAAACTCTCACAAATCATTCCTTAATTTACAAAGATACCTTGAACTGGCAAGCAAGAGACCACATCTTAAATGCTAAGCACATCATCTCTCTTTTCTTTCTATGTGCTGAGAAATATTTGCTCATCTTTAAGTACACCTGAATCACATCCTAGGTAGCACTGAAGTCCATGAACCCTCTTTGGCTCCCTCTAGATACTAAAACCTTATGCAGCTACACGCGTTCAAAACACACCAAATTACTTTTCTCCTTATCTCAAGGGTGAACAAGGATGACCATGCTGCACATCAAGGGAACAAATGTTATGATAAAAGCCATTCTTCTCATCTGTCAAGACCGATTTTCTAGAGCCTCAGAAGAGCAGTTTGAAGCACTTACTCAAGGCGATATGCAGCCAACTCGAGAAGGCTTTTTCTCCTTTTTAAAAATTAGTTTCAAATGAGTTGTCACAGAGCTGTTATCTATATTGCTTAAAACGTGAATAAGGCAGAGATGAATTTGCTTCTCTATCTTAGCGTCCTGTATCTTAAAATTGTGACAAGTCAGCTGAAAGTTGGCACCAAACAAGTTTTCACAAAAAACCAGTTTGAGATTCTTCCATTTAATGTTAAACATTTGAAGAACTTTGAGATTCTCGATTCATTAAAACTTTATGAAGGAAGTTTTGAAGAGCTGCTAAAAAGCACCAACAGATTTAACCTGAAACAGAGTCTTGCATGAGACTTAACAGTTAAGAACCACACTATACAATACTCCAGAACAGGAGGCAGCTATTGCAACCTAACAGAACTGCAACGCTCCCAACACCCACAGGCAAGCCTACGCATCAGGTTGCTAACTTGCATCCTTGTATATGCTGAACTTCAATGGGTTTTGAAAACCATCAAGTCAGTATCAGTCCCAGTGATCTTATTTCCTAGCCTCCAGCACACATTCACAACAAAAATCTTTTGCTTCTAAGGAAATCACATTGGATTTCCGCTTGTCTGGAAGGAAGGAGATGAGGGAGGGCTAACACGCACAGAATGGATCTCTTCTCCACAGTTACCTACATGTTGTATTTGATGAAACAGCTCATCTCCTCAGGACACACAACAGAATGGGGGGACATAGTTCCCTGAAGAGGCTTAACGTGGTCCTCAAATCAGACTACTAAATATTTCTTTTTACCCCTCCTCAGTCTCCCTTTAACTCTGCAAATCTGAATCCTATAAGAGTTGTCCCACTGAGAGAGAAACTGGATTCCTTCAGACTCCTAGAACACTGGTATGCAGAATTCTCAAGGTCACATCCTGCGCCACTAATGAAAATCTGCTTACAAGATTAGTACCGTATCCCAACTCGGTAGGGAGCAAACACAGGCTTAGGATAACAACAGGAAAGTTAAGGCTAAGGTACAGTTTGTAAGATCAAACTAAACTTCATAATTAAAAAAAAAAAAAAATCAGGTAAACAACATACCTCAAGGTGTTTCCCAGACCAGATTAGCACTAACAGTTTGTACAAAGCCAAGAGCACTCTTGAATATGTCCAAACAGGTTTTAATTCTCGCTTCTGAACACTAATTAAATAATTAGTTTACATAACTTCTGTAGAAGAAGAAAGATATAAAAGGTCTAACTCATGGGCAGGCCTCAGCAACACAACCAACATCATCTGTCCACGCAGTGAGGGAGTTGCTCTCAAAAAGACAATCAAATCACACTTTTGGTTCAATATCACAGCAACACAATTTGTGAAGGAGGCTAATTACGCTTAGCTCCCCTGTGTCAATTGCTGCAAAGAGCATTGCCAAGGCACTAAGGGTACCAACTGGTCTCATGAAAGAAATCTGTCCATTTAATGTCCATTTTCCAGTATCTGGACACAAATGTAGCTCAAAAATCTATCTTTCTGGCTTTACGTAGCATATTTCAACCTTTATCATTTGCCTTTCTTCAACTTCTTGAACGCTTATTAGTGGAGAAACAAAGGACACAGTTTACAACCTGGCACCGCTGGTTGGGTCAATATCGTGGCATATCTCAGAGTTTTATTGCCAGATCACAAGAATTAAAGAAGCCCCTTTCCCTGCATGTAAGAAAGCCTATGCATGCTGCTGCTTCACTGCCACTATTTTGATTACCTGTTAGTAACTCAGGTCACTGAATTTTTATTCTCCATTAAAATGTGTTCTACATCTGTTGGCATTTGGAAAGCTTTAAAGCCTTCACACTAGCTGTCTGTCTAAACCAGCAGCACTACCTTTCTATCTTTTTTTCTAAGCAGTAGCAGAGTGGATAAGACAAAAGGCAGATGCCTATCTTCTTTTTACCTCCTGTTAATTCCATGGTTAGCTTTTCATTCTCAATCATCTTCTTTTTCTCTTCCAATTCTGCAATTAAATTTTCCTTAAGCTCAATTTTCTTATCTTCAAACTCCTTTGCTGCTGCCTTCTTTTCCTTGACGTAATTTTTTTCCACCTGATCTGTCTAGTGCAAACCAAAAGAACAAAAAAGGTTAACGAAGGAACCAATGACTCAAGTTAATGATATCACAACAGCTTCTGTCAATTGCTGTATTGATTAACTTTTCAGTTCAAAACTGTAGCCAGTTCTAAAGATTATCAATATTCATAATCACCAGAAAAAACATCTAAAAATGACTAAGGAAGCAGTACAATATTGGCAAAAGAATTAATTATTTTTTAAAACCATTTTAACATTGCATAACATATCAAGTCTCTAGCAGAGAGCTCTTCAGATTTATAAACAGCACTATCATTTATCAACTTAAGCTTTTTAAACAAGGCAAATGCAGCCAGCGTACAGCAGCCCAAAATATTTCTTTTAATACTATTTTAATGACAAAGTCCAGAAGTCACTTGAAGTAATACCTACCAACAATAGGTTGTACTACATCTCAAGTGTAAAAACTTGAAAAGTGAGCTACAGGAAGAAAGTCTCTTTAATCCTTGTGAGAAAATAAGCACTAGTCGATGAAACAGAGGGTTTATACCTCTTCCATCCAGATAATATGTATTTTGATAAATTAAGAGTACTTACTTCCAGCTGGAGGAACAGTTCTGGAAGAGAAGAAAGACTTAATTTATTATCTTCAAAGATGTACAAAATGACTTCTCTAACATTTTAAGTCATTGAATATTGCAGCCAAGAGGCAGTGAACTAAACAGTGCATGTACTCATCCAACCTCTACTCTCACTTCGCAGTTTTACGCTGAAAATAAAGTAACTATGAAAAAATTCCACAAAAATACACTGTTAATGGAAGTTTTCGTCAAGCAGATTTGCAAAGCTTACACAGCAGCATTCCAATCCACTCAGTTCAGCTACCATTCCCAGCAGTACTAAGCATGTAGTCCATCTTCCTTCCAGTTTAATTACAATCAATTAACACTAGATACAAACTTCCCAGATAGAAGTTTGAAACATACAGCTGAATGCATGCCTGGCAAAAATTCACAGTTTAAGCCAACTTCATCAATTTTAGCAATGACTGGTACAGAAATAATACCGCAGCTCTTAGAAGATTCATCTACTTAACTCATGTGTGTCTGATTTCAGGCTGCTTATGCCTGAGAAAGCAAGCAAGAAAATTGTTATGTATCACCGAAGGTGAAGTTCTAACACATGGCAATGATTAGTTCAAGTCAGACCTATTGATGAGGTGAATGGATTTTTGGCTGTGCAACAGTCCTGCTACTGACGTTTGTGCAATTCCTCACAACTTGAAATTAAGCAGGATGAGCCCCTTCTTGTGTTTCCTGGAGGACATAATGCCCAAAATAAAGCTTTTACCTAAGGTATGGCAAGAACAGTAAACCAAGACATCTGATCAGTCCTCAAGTCACCATATTTCACCAGCATATTAAGCTTTGGCGATAACTGAAATAGTAAAAACTTCTGTAAAGATCACAGGCTTCAAATACATTTTGGAGCAACACTGTACTACTGTGTTTTTAATATATATAATTTTAAAACCCAACAAAATAGACACCAAAGATAACTGCCCAATAAAAGTCAAACCTTTTGCTTGCAAAGGGCTCTACCAATTGAGCATGGAAGCAGTATTTCAGGGGTAATCAAATACAGATAAATCTAAACTGTTGCTTTAATATCTGTGAGTTCACAAAAAAACCCCAAACCTCAACAAGGGAAAGAATAAACATAAAAGACCATCCTCCTGTAGCACTAAGCAGTTGGATTTTTTATCATAAAATTAAAAGTTATCACCATCTGCCCTCCTGTGGAAGAAACATGTTGCTGCAGCACTGGTCTTTGCCAGCCAAAAATACAAGTTTGCAGTTAGTCTTAATTTTATCAAAACAACCCTATATTACTACAGGAAATTCATCTCAGAAGATGGATTCCTGTTAACAAGAAATAGTTCAATTTCCTTAAACTCCTCAAGCAAATCCTTTACCATCTCAAAGTCACAATTCATAGTATGCAAAGGCTGGAGTGCATTAGCCACCATACAATTGCCACTGCCTTTCTGTTGTATTTCCCAGAGTAACAGCCCAGGCATTACAGAATTCACCCAACTTTTCTAAAGGAAGAACAGCTATGTTTCCTATTTCCAGATAATAGCTTCTATGAAAGGCCTTGCTTCAGTATCCAAGATAAGAACCTACCAGAAAGAGAACAAACAAGAGAGAGGGAGGGCAAGCACACGGATCTGATTTCCAAGCCATTTCTCTGCAGTAACACAATAAAGGCTACCCAGAAGGGCTGAGAGCTAGGCACTTTAAAAATTAACTTGGGCCTTCGCTCCTGAAACAGTGTGTCAGAACACAAAGTACAGGCAGCCCATTCCATGTCACAGCTATACAAAATAACAGTTTCAACAGCAAACCCTGTGCATTCATTGTTCGAGGGCACAAAACAGATCTTTGGGAAAGCACGTAGTCCTAACTTTCCATTCCTGCAAACTGAAAGGAACGGTGCACCTGAAGGGTTCAGACAAGTCGCGCAAAAGAATGAGGCAAAGTGGGAGACCGTAGATGAGGCATGGCACCAGATGAAAAAATTGTTTCATTTTTACTTGCACCGTTTCACACAAATGGAGACTAAACCTGGTTGTTCGTGTTCAGTAAACAGTCAGCACACAATGTTGATGAAGGAAAAGAAGAAAAAAAATCAAGACAGATCCTGTCACATTTCTCAAAAAAATCCTACACTATACCCCTGGAAGCAGAAGAACCCTTTTGCTCCAACAAGTTCCTTTAAGGGACAGAATTATCACTATTTTTCTTTAGATGTTACAAACCCCATTAATTTAAGTTGTACACACCATTTTAGAAAGAAATTTCAGCTTACCTGCATTTCGTATCCTTTCTTTGTACTGCTGGTCCAACTTTTTCATTCTTTTCTGATATTCCTGAAGAGTACCTAGTTGAAATAAATTGTGGATTCCCATTGAAATTTTATTTTTTCCAAGTATTAAACTTTCTCAAAGAGCCATACACCACTTGAAACACAAATACTAATATCTGAAGTCAGAAAACTACAGTTCTAGTTTGCTAATTTTGATAAGCACGTTCCCTGTTTTTTTTTCCCCCCAAAGCTGACTACTCCTTTTAAGGAATGTTTTAGTACACAGAGGCTTGACTACAAGTGTTTGGAGGGAAAAAGGATGGAAAGCGGCTGACATTTTCCCCTAAGCAGCATGACCGAGAGCCACCATTCAGTGAAGGATGCTGCTTACATCTTTCAAACCCCCCACCCTTCTCTGACCTTTGAAAAGTGCTGAAAATTGTTAAGAAAAAAGCTATCCCCTTCAAAGCTTACCTTCCTGCAACTGCTGCAACTGTCTCTTCAGAGATGCCAGTTTGTCCTGATACATCCTACAAAGATAGAGAGCACGCAACTTTACTTTGAAAAACAAACATATATAATTTTCACCATCTGTTTAGGTTACAATGTGTTTACATAGAATTAAAAACTTTTCAGAAGAACTTCAGAAAACAAATAACAACTAAAAGAATATTATTCAAATGATAGGTTATCATTCTGTCTAAAACCCCTGCCACCCCAATGGTTTTTACAATGCACCCAAACCAGCTATTTTTGAAATAGTTCAAGGTAAAATAGGATTATTTTTTTAAAATGTTGAAAACTAAAATGACATTTAGATCTACAGACACCAGAAACTTTACAACAGAATCATTCTACCACTTTGTGTAATAATTCCCTACTTATAAAACAGAAAGCATTTCCTCAAGTAGATCTTGACATTAGAAAAAAAACCCCAACGTCTATTCCTGGCGCTGTTGCAAACTTGCATTTCCTTTCTCACATATCTGTGGTTTAACACAGGCCAACTCTTCCTGACCTGTACAAAAACAGGTCTCTGCCAGTAAGAAAGAGTACAAAATACTGCAAATAAACCTGAACATCAAAGGAAACTATTTCAAGTCTCCAAAAGGCCTGTCATCTTGGACAGGGCTAGCATCCTATTGTTTAAAGGATTTTAATATGCATCTTACTTTTTGCCTGGCTTATATGAAGTAGATCCTTATTTTATTTAAAAGATCTGACTGCAGTGGGATTCATTTGAAGCAAAACTCAGCTACTCCCAGAAACCTGTACCTATTTCTTTGTTCAAAACAGCAGCAGTGCCTAATTTCTTGAACACTTCTAGAACAGAAAAGGTAACTGAGGAGAGAAGAAATAAAGTATATGGACTCATTTACTACTGCATTGGGCTAGGCACTTAAAGACTCCCATCTTGGCCCAAAACACTGCAAAGTTTTATGCAAAAAAAAAAACAAAACCCAAACCCAAGTAAATAAAACATTACTTTACTTTTTATTAGAATGAGTTACTTACTGTTCTTTCATCTCTACAAAGTCCTCTTCCTCGTGTTTTGCCAGGTCGGTTTCACTGGCATCCTCTGTGTCTAAACGAGGTAAAGAATGACTTGTTAAAGCTACAGAAGTATTTTAAAACGAACAACAAAAAACCAAAAAAACGAAGTAGCAAATTATTTAAAAACAAAGAAACAAACAAATTAAAAAATCCCCAAACAAGCAATTTAACCTCACATACACAACCAGATAGGCCTCTGAAGAGATGAATTCAGAAGTGAAACGAACCATCTCATCTCTTCCCTGCAAGTGAACCTAGGTAAATCCACTGATAGTTTTGCAAGGCAGCTTACATCAAGTCTAAACAATTTCAACTTAAGATAGCCTGGTAATTTCTTCCCAGTTTAAGACAACAAGTTCTACATTAACACTCACACATACAAAGGGGAGACAGAAACAGTCTAAAGACTCTGAAAAACATTTCAGAGAGGTCCTCCTATGGTTCTGCCCATGACATAATATACTGTACGGAAGACAATGACTGAAACAGCTAAAACTGATTCTGCATCTTGACCTGACACACTCCAAAACAAAAACGCTATGACCAGATGCTGGTCATAGTAGAGACAAAGGTCTCGTTAAAGATAACAAAGTCACTTAATGTGATCTGAACTTGACTTCTCAGCCACACGTCACATGGAAGTCCTTCAACATTTACATGCAACAAAGACCAGCATTACCATAAAGATAGCCTCAATTTTATGAACAGATAATATAAACTATAAACAAATCAAAGCTGTATGGGACCGTTAGTTTTCTGCTATGCCTTTTCAGGCTTGTAAGACATGGGTAGCCAAGAATTCATGACCTTCCCTCCCCAAGGAGAGGTCAGTGTCTCCAGGCTGGAGTTGTGGTAGGCAGTGTGCAGCTGTAAACCTAAACTGCAGCTGCATTCCCTACGCATGGACGGGGGGGCACCTGTCCCTTAAAGAAAACATTTCTCAGATTTTTCTTAAACTATGAAAAAAAAACTCCTTTAAGCATACATGTATTAACACAAAACACACCAAACATAAACCAGGAAATTTTAACTGAAAGAAAAATATCTAGATGTCTAGGTCACCATAAAGGACTTCCATGCTCACTTTACTTGTGCGCAGCCACGGAGGGCCCCACACCAACCAGCGCGCTGTCATCCTTTGTAAGGCTCTGCAGGTTTGGCTCTGGCACCTCCTTCATGAATGTACCAGGCGTGATTGAAGACTTCAGGGGACAGAGCAACAGGCACCGACCAAGGGTCATTCTTCATCTCCCTTGTATGTTACTTCATGGATCCTACACCCCAGAACACTCTGGGGTTCACTTCCATTTCCTCTTCTCCACAGCTTTCCTGGCCCTTCTACAAAACCCCTCCTTCCCCTACCTCCCTCTCGCACCCCCTAACTTCTGTCCACGCTTTGCCTCAGCTGCCTCCTTGCCCCTTCACAGCACAGAAACAGAACCCAGTTCCGCACACCAGACCTCCCCCCTTCTTTTACCCTGTGCCCCACCTCCCCAGTGCTCTCCCTTCCCCTCACTGCCTCTTCTTCACTTGGGAAACCACTTCAATCCCACCTCTGCATCGGCTTCGCTTTTCTACTCTTCCACAGGGAACCCCTGCGATCTAACAGGCCCTTGGGGTCTTTTCGCATTTTCTTGCTGCTCCAGACCACTTCTCCGCCAAAGGCGACCCAAGCCTTTCTTTCCCAAACGCTCTCCTCCACCCCCTGTGCAGAGCGGCCCCCTCCTTCAACTCGCCAGCCCCGTGAGAGCCCCCCAACCGCCCTCCAGGAGCCCCAGCCACCTCCACTTCCCACTTC